GTGTGTGGGTGTGGGGTGTGTGGTGTGGGTGTGGGTGTGGGGTGTGTGGTGTGTGGTGTGGGGTGTGGTGTGGGTGTGGGGTGTGTGGTGTGTGGTGTGGTGTGTGGGTGTGTGGTGTGTGTGTGTGTGGGGTGTGTGGGTGTGTGGTGGGGGTGTGGGGTGTGTGTGTGTGTGGGTGTGTGTGGGGTGTGTGGTGTGGGGTGTGTGGTGTGTGGGTGTGTGTGGTGTGTGGGGTGTGTGGTGTGTGGTGTGTGGGGTGTGTGGTGTGTGTGGGGTGGTGGGGGTGTGTGGGGTGTGGGGTGTGTGGTGTGGGGTGTGTGGGGTGTGTGGTGGTGGGGTGTGTGGTGTGGGGTGTGGGGTGTGTGGGGTGTGGGGTGTGGGGTGTGTGTGTGTGGTGTGGGGTGTGGGTGTGGGGTGTGTGGTGTGGGGTGTGGGGTGTGTGGGTGTGTGGTGTGGGGTGTGGGTGTGGGGTGTGTGGTGTGGGGTGTGTGGTGTGGGGTGTGTGGGGTGGTGTGTGGTGTGTGGGGTGGTGGGGTGTGTGTGGTGTGGGGTGTGTGTGTGTGTGGGGTGTGGGGTGTGTGGGGTGTGTGGTGTGTGGTGTGTGGTGTGTGGGGTGTGTGGTGTGTGGGTGTGGGGGTGTGGGGTGTGGGGTGTGTGTGTGTGGTGTGGTGTGTGGTGTGTGGGTGTGGGGTGTGGTGTGTGTGGTGTGTGGGGTGTGTGGTGTGGGGTGTGTGGGTGTGGGGTGTGGGGTGGGGTGTGGGGTGTGTGGTGTGTGTGGTGTGTGGAGTGTGGTGTGGGGTGGTGTGGTGTGTGGGGGTGTGGGTGGTGTGGGGGTGGTGTGTGTGTGGGGGGTGTGGGTGTGTGGTGTGGGGTGTGGGGTGTGTGGTGTGTGGTGTGGGGTGTGTGGTGGGGTGTGGGGTGTGGGGGTGGGGGTGTGTGGTGTGGGGTGTGGGTGTGTGGTGTGGGGTGTGGGGTGTGTGGGGTGTGTGGGGTGTGGGGTGTGGGGTGTGTGGTGTGGGGTGTGTGGTGTGTGGTGTGTGGTGTGGGGTGTGTGGTGTGTGGTGTTGGGTGTGGGGTGTGTGGTGTGTGGTGTGTGGTGTGGGGTGTGAGTGTGGTGTGTGGGGTGTGGGGTGTGTGGTGTGTGGTGTGGGGTGTGTGGTGTGGGGTGTGTGGTGTGTGGTGTGGGGTGGGGTGTGGGTGTGGGGTGTGTGGTGTGGGGTGTGTGGTGTGGGGTGTGGGGTGTGTGGTGTGGGGTGTGGGGTGTGGAGGATCGGGTGGTGGGTGTGGAGCACATGACTGTAAAGCTGCCGCCCAGTTGGATGGGTGTGGAGCACATGACTGTAAAGCTGCCGCCCAGTTGGGTGGGTGTGGAGCACATGACTGTAAAGCTGCCGCCCAGTTGGGTGGGTGTGGAGCACATGACTGTTAAGCTGCCGCCCAGTTGGGTGGGTGTGGAGCACATGACTGTAAAGCTGCCGCCCAGTTGGGTGGGTGTGGAGCAAGACTAGTAACTGTGTGACTCACCATAGATGTAAAGTGCCTTGTATAGTGACTCGTGAGTCACTATACCTCTTGTTGAATCACTTGTGATACAAAAGAATAGTGATGTGTGTATTTATGTAGGTGATTGTATATGTATGTCTACGTATATATGTACATGTATGTATGAATATGTGTACGAGTATATATATATAACATTAATAATTGTGTAACTAATGTCAAAAGATTGTTATTTGCTTAGCTAAACGAACTCTGGAGCACTGAACCCATTATGTTCCTCACCCCCCCCCCCCCCCCCCCACGGGATGGGTATGGGGTGCATGATAAAGAAAGACATTGAATTGGGTTGCAGGGACCAAGTGATGGGATTCCCCGCCCGCTCTTGACTCTATCAACACCCCCCTCCCTCCCTTCACCCCAGCCCCCGCCTCCTCGTCACTCACCCAGCCCCTCCTCCCCACAAGGCTCCCATGCCCCAGTATTGGCAGCGTCACTCATCCTGTGAGTGGACACACCGCCATAGTGACAGTATTGGGCAGCGTCACTCATCCTGTGAGTGGACACACCGCCATAGTGACAGTATTGGGCAGCGCCACTCATCCTGTGAGTGGACACACCGCCATAGTGACAGTATTGGGCAGCAACACTCATCCTGTGAGTGGACACACCGCCATAGTGACAGTATTGGGCAGCAACACTCATCCTGTGAGTGGACACACCGCCATAGTGACAGTATTGGGCAGCGCCACTCATCCTGTGAGTGGACACACCGCCATAGTGACAGTATTGGGCAGCAACACTCATCCTGTGAGTGGACACACCACCATAGTGACAGTATTGGGCAGCGCCACTCATCTTGTGAGTGGACACACCGCCATAGTGACAGTATTGGGCATCGCCACTCATCCTGTGAGTGGACACACCACCATAGTGACAGTATTGGGCAGCGCCACTCATCTTGTGAGTGGACACACCGCCATAGTGACAGTATTGGGCAGCGCCACTCATCCTGTGAGTGGACACACCGCCATAGTGACAGTATTGGGCAGCAACACTCATCCTGTGAGTGGACACACCGCCATAGTGACAGTATTGGGCATCGCCACTCATCTTGTGAGTGGACACACCGCCATAGTGACAGTATTGGGCAGCGCCACTCATCTTGTGAGTGGACACACCGCCATAGTGACAGTATTGGGCAGCGTCACTCATCCTGTGAGTAGACACACCGCCATAGTGACAGTATTGGGCAGCGTCACTCATCCTGTGAGTGGACACACCGCCATAGTGACAGTATTGGGACACGGTGGTGTCCGCCATGCGGGTGAGGTGGACAGTTGCACACCATCGCTGACTTCTTGTTGATGTGTTCATTGGAGTTTAGTGGCCGAAATATGTCATATCCTGGGATCGTGGCAAAGTTCTGTACCAGTGTTCAGTATACCAGTGTACCAGTATACAGTGTACCAGTAGATAAGGACGTATAATGTACACGGTAGATAAGGACGGATACTTTAACACGGACGGTACGCGAACAAGGGACACAGGTGGAAACTGAGTACCCAAATGAGTCCTGGGTGATACCTGGTTGATGGGGTTCTGGGAGTTCTTCTACTTCCCAAGCCCGGCCCGAGGCCAGGCTTAACTTGTGAGAGTTTGGTCCACTAGGCTGTTGCTTGGAGCGGCCCGTAGGGCCACATACCCACCACAGCCCGGTTGGTCCGGCACTCCTTTCAAGGAATAAGTCTAGTTTCCTCTTGAAGATGTCCACGGTTGTTCCGGCAATATTTCTTATGCTTGCTGGGAGGGTGTTGAACAACCACGGACCTCTGATGTTTATACAGTGTTCTCTGATTGTGCCTATGGCACCTCTGCTCTTCACTGGTTCTATTCTGCATTTTCTTCCATATCGTTCACTCCAGTATGTTGTTATTTTACTGTGTAGATTTGGTACTTGGCCCTCCAGTATCTTCCAGGTGTATATTATTTGATATCTCTCTCGTCTTCTTTCTAGTGAATACATTTGGAGGGCTTTGAGACGATCCCAATAATTTAGGTGCTTTATCGCGTCTATGCGTGCCGTATATGTTCTCTGTATTCTCTCTATTTCAGCAATCTCTCCTGCTCTGAAGGGGGAAGTGAGTACTGAGCAGTGCTCAAGACGGGACAACACAAGTGACTTGAAGAGTACAACCATTGTGATGGGATCTCTGGATTTGAAAGTTCTCGTAATCCATCCTATCATTTTTCTGGCTGTCGCAATATTTGCTTGGTTATGCTCCTTAAACGTTAGGTCGTCAGACATTATTATTCCCAAATCCTTTACATGCTGTTTTCCTACTATGGGTACATTTGATTGTGTTCTATACCCTGTATTATGTTTAAGGTCCTCATTTTTACCGTACCTGAGTACCTGGAATTTATCACTGTTAAACATCATGTTATTTTCTGATGCCCAGTCGAAAACTTTATTAATATCAGCTTGAAGTTTTTCAATGTCTTCAGCCGAGATAATTTTCATACTGATTTTTGTGTCATCTGCAAAGGATGATACGAAGCTGTGACTTGTATTTTTGTCTATATCTGATATGAAAATAAGGAAAAGCAGCGGTGCAAGGACTGTACCCTGAGGTACAGAGCTCTTAACTGCACTTGGACTAGATTTTATATGGTTGACCGTTACTCGCTGAGTCTTGTTTGACAGAAAACTGAGTATCCAGCGTCCTACTTTACCGGTTATTCCCATTGACTTCATTTTGTTTGCTATCACGCCATGGTCACATTTATCGAAAGCCTTTGCGAAGTCCGTGTATATCACATCAGCATTCTGTTTTTCTTCTAATGCCTCAGTGACTTTGTCGTAGTGCTCAAGTAGCTGTGAGAGGCACGATCTTCCCGCTCGAAATCCATGTTGGCCTGGGTTGTGAAGGTCATTGGTCTCCATGAAATTGGTGACCTGACTCCTAATCACTCTCTCAAATACTTTTATGATGTGCGATGTTAGTGCAACTGGTCTATAATTCTTTGCCAATGCTTTGCTCCCTCCCTTGTGTAGAGGGGCTATGTCTGCTACTTTAAGCGCATCTGGTATCTCCCCCGTGTCCAAGCTCTTCCTCCACACTATACTGAGTGCCTGTGCTACCGGCACTTTGCATTTCTTTATAATTCATAGAGTCATAGGGATGTTAGAAAGAACTTTTTCCGTGTCAGAGTAGTTAATAAATGGAATGCATTAGGCAGTGATGTGGTGGAGGCTGACTCCATACACAGTTTCAAGTGTAGATATGATAGAGCTCAATAGGATCATTAATCTGTACACCAGTATATTGACAGTTGAGAGGCGGGACCAAACTGCCGAAGGTCATTCCTCACAAACACAACGACATGAGGAACAACGACATGAGGAACAACGACATGAGGAACAACGACATGAGGAACAACGACATGAGGAACAACGACATTAGGTCTCATCATATAAAGTAATGCTAAAAAAAATTGCAAATATTTTAATATTTTATTCTTAATAGTCAAAAATATATTACATGTTCATAAAATAAAAAAATAAAACTCATACAATACTTGCTTTTTTAACCTATATATACAGAAAAGGAATGTTTGTTACCGGTATTTACAGAACTGCCTCAAATATATTCACAAAAATAGCAACATTTGAAGCCAATATTTACTGAAGAGGAACATTAGACGCACTCCGAGGACCTGCATATGGACTCGGTTATGAATGTTTACCGTTTAAAAATGATGTGCACAACATTTCAAAGGTGTATACATTCCACATATTGCATAATTAAATGAGTTAACACAATGCATTTGATAAATGTTCTTTATATACATAGAACATTTGTGGTTGTTACTGAGAGACACATACAGTTTGTGTACATGTGTCCGAGTAACAGAGAATAACAGTGGTAGAGAGCACTAATGTTTACACACATCTTTCACGCCTAACAACACATCTAAGTCTGGATTCTTATAAACAATGAATAAATAAACTACTTGAGCATTAACTAATACATACAAAAGTTCTCGTATTTTCCCCTCATTATATTACAATGATTCATTCTATATTATGAGATACATTTTACCTTATACAGTGACTAATATTTCCCAACCATATTATGGTCCGAAAATACATTGTGGCAAAACATTTTACCAATATTGTAACATAACATGACCTCTATGTTACAGACTTACTCTAGTATCACAAACTCTCAACATGACTCAGAAAATGCCAGGAATGGTTAGTGAGTTACCGGAGCTGTTGCTCGGTGATGGGTGACGGTGGTGGAGGAGCAGCACCAGCCGTCACAGTGGTGGGTGACGGTGGTGGAGGAGCAGCACCAGCCGTCACAGTGGTGGGTGACGGTGGTGGAGGTGCAGCCGTCACAGTGATGGGGTGACGGTGGTGCAGCAACAGCCGTCACAGTGATGGGGTGACGGTGGTGGAGGTGCAGCCGTCACAGTGATGGGGTGACGGTGGTGCAGCAACAGCCGTCACAGCGCCACCACGTAACAGTCCACAACAACAACTTCACTCACAAAGTCTGCAGCGAAATATCCGATCCAAGTTCACTGGTTTACCCGGAATATCATTCTTACAGTAAAAGTGTTGCAGCACGGGGAGGGACGCCCACACCTGGCCCACCACACGTGTACGGGGAGGGACGCCCACACCTGTCCCACCACACGTGTACCAGGGCACCAAGTGTTGCACGGGGAGGGACGCCCACACCTGGCCCACCACACGTGTACGGGGAGGGACGCCCACACCTGTCCCACCACACGTGTACGGGGAGGGACGCCCACACCTGTCCCACCACACGTGTACCAGGGCACCAAGTGTTGCACGGGGAGGGACGCCCACACCTGTCCCACCACACGTGTACCAGGGCACCAAGTGTTGCACGGGGAGGGACGCCCACACGTGCCGGTGATGCTGGGTGAGTTAGCAAGTGCTGGACAATATTAAGGTAGGACAAGTTGCAACTGTTGTTGTCTTGTTGTTTGAGGACGTGAAGGTAGCAACAAGCGGCGTGGTCACTCGTGGTCCTCACGGAGTGTTGTGTCGGCGCTGTTGTCGGCGGTGTTGTCGGCGGTGTTGTCGGCTGTGGCTGTTGTGCAGGAGCAGCGGAGGTGTTCTTGGGTCTTGAAGTGGGTGTAGTGCCTGTTACCTTGGTCGTCGTACTGCGCCAGGTAGAACATCTTGGTCTTGGTCTTGCTCGGGACACATCTTTTGGTCTCGACCCCGATGTCGTCGCCGCAGTAGCTGCAGGAGTCGTCACACCGCTTCACCACCACCACCTGCGGCCAGAAGTCTGCGTCCTTCACGTCGTTGTCAGCAGACAGTACATCCTTCACCACCAACTTCTGCTGCCTAGGTTTACACTTCAGCTTTTTCAGCTGCTTCATTTGTTTCTCGACGCCTTTCCTGGCCTTGTTCTGGTCGACTGGTCGACACTCCGTCACTGCCAGCACCACCACCACCAGTGTCGCCACCACCCATGTCACCTTCATCTTCGCCAGTAGTCTTCCTGAGCTTAGAAAAGACTGTTAAGTGGACGGGTATCACCAGTATCAGAAGTGACAGTCTACGGGTATATGACAGTTGCCGGGGCTTACAATCGGCGGATATGACAGTTATGAGGCGTGACAATCAGCGGGTACGATAGTTGTCGGGAATGACAGTGAAGGCGGAGTCTCCTCACTAGGCGCTGGTCACCAATGAACATTACAGCCTCCTGCCGCCTGTTATAAAGCAGTCGGGTGAACGCGTCCTCGTCCTGTCCCGTGTTGCTTATTCTACAACACATACAACAACAAACACGGACTTGCTTACTTGCTTACACTGTTGCATTAACTTCCCAACTGTTATTTTCCACCAGTTTTGGAGAGTTGCGACCGACTTTGCTGTAGACCTCACTTAAGTAATGCAACATTTAGAGTTTATGATAGAGAGAAAGTGTTGGGTGGCATCACAATGGTGTCTAACTCCCCGAACGTTTGGTCTCTACGATACTTCACGGACATGATACGTTGTTTCCAGCTGGCAAAGTTCGTGTACGGGCGCGCGCGCTACGTTTTATTTCGTGTTTCCTCCGGCAACTGAACGCAAAACGTTACGCCCAACTTTTACGGTGTTCATATATTTTGTCTGTACGTCTCAAGTCACTTTCTTAGTGACGGTCTCATCAAATACTTGAGTAAATAACCGGAACGTTCTCGGTACAGACAGTTACCTCAACATGTCGATGAGCGGCTGTATTCTGCTGTATGAGCTCTCAGGACTAGATGTATTCCTTGTATACAGCCGCTGTATGTATGCTAGTAGTCAGGAGTGGAAGTATTCCTTGTATACAGCCGCTGTATGTATGCTAGTAGTCAGGAGTGGAAGTATTCCTTGTATACAGCCGCTGTATGTATGCTAGTAGTCAGGACTGGATGTATTCCTTGTATACAGTCGCTGTATGTATAAAAGTTGTGAGAACTGGATGTATTCCTTGTATACAGCCGCTGTATGTATGCTAGTAGTAAGGACTGGATGTATTCCTTGTATACAGCCGCTGTATGTATAAAAGTTGTGAGAACTGGATGTATTCCTTGTATACAGCCGCTGTATGTATGCTAGTAGTCAGGACTGGATGTATTCCTTGTATACAGCCGCTGTATGTATGCTAGTTGTGAAAACTGGTTGTATTCTTTGTAGAAACAATTGTTATTTTCAGATATTCACAGACTCAGACACATATTAACACATATCTCTCAGGCAGCTATCCAAACTCTCTTCTCCTTTCACCAATCAGCCCGGCAGATGTTGTGTCCATCATACACTCTCTAAAAACCAAGGCAGGGAACACCAGTGAAATTCCGTCCATTGTGTACAAGAGAGCCTCCCATGCCCTTGCCCCACCCATAGCACTACTGTTCAACAAATCTATAGAGTGTCACACCTTCCCTGATATCCTCAAAAAAGCAAGAGTAACGCCAGTCCATAAAGGAGGCAATCCGGCGGACATAAACAATTATAGACCAATATCAAATCTACCCATTCTATCAAAAATATTTGAAAAAATTATTTACAAACAGCTCTATTCCTACCTCGTAAAATTCGACATACTCAGCCCCTGCCAGTTTGGCTTCCGGTCCCAAAAGAGCACCAACGATGCAATCATTAGTCTCCTTGACGTTATCTACTCAGCCCTTGAAAAAAATGAGTTTCTGATTGGACTCTTCATTGACCTAAGAAAAGCCTTTGATACTGTTAATCACAACTACCTCTTACTTAAACTCCAGCGTTATGGAATCCGAGGCCTGCCCTTGACTACATCCGATCCTATCTTAGTGACAGACACCAATATGTAACCATCAATGATACAACTTCTTCCACTCTACCAATTACCGTTGGAGTGCCACAGGGCAGCATCTTAGGACCTCTTCTATTTCTTATGTATATAAACGATCTGCCTAATGTCTCTAATATTCTCAAACCTATATTGTTTGCTGACGATACTACCCTTATCTATTCAAACCTCAACCCACATACACTAAATAATGTTGTGAATAATGAATTAAAAAAAGTCCACTTATGGATGTCAACGAACAAACTAACATTAAACATCGAAAAGACTTACTACATCTTATTTGGAAGCAAATCATCAAATGCAATTCAGCTACAGATAGACAACTTTAACATCAGTAATAAAAATGATGGCAAGTTTCTTGGCCTATTCCTAGACAAGAGACTCAACTTCAGCACCCACATTCAACACATAACTAAGAAAGTCTCTAAGACAGTTGGTATACTCCCCCAAAATCAGATATTATGTTCCTAACTCTGCTCTCCTCTCACTATATTATGCACTAATCTACCCCTATCTTAATTATGGTATCTGTGCATGGGGTCTACCACTGCAAACCACCTTAAGCCCATCATCACACAGCAAAAATCTGTTATCAGAATAATAACTAACTCTGCTTTCAGACAACACTCAGCTCCCTTGTTTAAATCCCTAAACTTGCTAAATATTAACTCCCTCCACACATTCTCTTGTGTCAACTACATTTACAAAACCCTGTTCTTAAATGCAAACCATGCTCTGAAACTCTCCCTGGACAGATGTAATAGGACCCATTATCACCACACCAGAAATAAATATCTCTTTGATATCCCCAGGGTCAAACTTAATCTGTGTAAACACTCTATGCAAATTAAGGGACCTAGTCTATGGAACTCACTCCCTAGTGAATTGAAAAACTGTAAAACTTTTGCCTTATTTAAAAGCAAAACCAAAAAGTACCTAACTTCATCTTCTTAGTTTCCTTAACTGAGCTTTAAATTTGCTCTGTACCTAGTGTTACCCAATCTTCTAATTTTTATGTAATATCAAACAACCTTATCATTGTGTTCATTGCTGTCTTCTTTAATGTGCTAGCCATATGCTGTATTGTGACTACCAATTTTTGTCAACTACCATTCAAGCTGTCATTGCAATCAATCTTAGCTACCTATGTGCTTTAATATACTGTACCTACAATTTTCTCTCATCTTCTTTTTTTCATTTCATGTAACTGTTATTATTTTTTTGTCTATAAATTATGCAAGTATTTACCTCCTTAAAATTTTCTTAGATTAAGGACCTGCCCGAAACGCTGCGCGTACTAGTGGCTTTACAAGACTGTAATTACCATATTTGTATCCTCACATTCCTTATGTACATTCTTGTATATGCATAAATAAATAAATAAATAAGATATCAAATATGTGTCAAATATCTCTTTTTGTCTCTATATCTCACTCTGTGTCTATGTCTCTCTCTTTGTCTCTATCTTTCCCCCTTACAAATAAAACATCTGTATATATATATATATATATATATATATATATATATATATATATATATATATATATATATAAATATATATATATAAATATAAATATATATATATATATATATATATATATATATATATATATATATATATATATATATATATATATATATATATATATATTTATATATATATATATACCAAAAACACTGATCATTTTATGCGGAAAATCCGCAGAGAAATATACAACAACGGCTTTAACGTTCACTTCCTTTCATATTTCTCTGTGGATTTTCCGTATATATATATATATTTAGATGCTTTATTTGTAAGGGAGAGAGATAGACAGAGAGTAAGAGACAAAGAGAGATAGGCAGACAGTGAGAGAAAAAGAGCGAGAGACAGAAACAGAGAGACAGATACCCAAGCAGTTGTCAGTGAATACCTCTCTGGCAGCTATCCTGAGTTCCTTTACCTGTCGCCAGCCAACTCCTCAGAGATAATTGACATTATCCTCTCACTTAAAACTAAATCCTGTAACCCTTGTGAGATACCAACACTAATCTGTAAAAGGCCTCAAGGTCTTCAACACTGCAGTAGCGTTGCTGTACAATAAATCACTGGAGCTCCGAGACTTCCCGGATGCTCTTAAAATAGCTACAGTCATTCCACCCCATAAGAGTGGAGATCTTACTGAAATCAACAATTTTAGACCAATATCAATCCTTCCCACCTTCCCAAATCTTTGATTAACTCACGAACAAACAGCTATGTTCCTTTCTCGATAACCACAATATACCCAGTTTAAACCAATATGGCTTCAGCCACCAATGATGCTCTTATAAATATGCCTGGTTGATGGGGTTCTGGGAGTTCTTCTACTCCCCAAGCCCGGCCCGAGGCCAGGCTTGACGTGTGAGAGTTTGGTCCACCAGGTTGTTGCTTGCAGCGGCCCGCAGGCCCACATACCCACCACAGCCCGGTTGGTCCGGCACTCCTTGGAGGAAACTAGATCCTCTTGAAGATGTCCACGGTTGTTCCGGCAATAATTCTTATGCTCGCTGGGAGGGTGTTGAACAACCACGGACCTCTGATGTTTATACAGTGTTCTCTGATTGTGCCTATGGCACCTCTGCTCTTCACTGGTTCTGTTCTGCACTTTCTTCCATATCGTTCACTCCAGTACGTTGTTATTTTACTGTGCAGATTTGGGACCTGGCGCTCCAGTATTTTCCACGTGTATATTATTTGGTATCTCTCCCGTCGTCTTTCTAGTGAGTACAATCGGAGAGCTTTGAGACGATCCCAATAATTTAGGTGCTTTATCTCGTTTATGTATCCTGTATATGTTCTCTGTATTCCCTCTATTTCAGCAATCTCTCCTGCTCTGAAGGGGGAAGTGAGTACTGAGCAGTACTCAAGACGGGACAGCACAAGTGATTTGAAGAGTACAACCATTGTGATGGGATCTCTGAATTTGAGAGTTCTCGTAATCCATCCGATCATTTTTCTGGCTGCCGCAATATTTGCTTGGTTATGCTCCCTAAAATTTAGGTCGTCAGACATCATTATTTCCAAATCCTTTGCATGTTGCTTTCCTACTATGAATAAATTTGATTGCGTTTTGTACCCTGTATTATGTTTAAGGTTCTCATTTTTACCGTGTCTGAGTACCTGGAATTTATCGCTGTTAAACATCATGTTATTTTCTGATGCCCAGTCGAAAACTTTATTAATGCTTAACCTATTACTTGCAAATCTTAACGAAAATGAGAAAAAAACCTATGGGGTACGTAGGTCTGTTTGTTGACTTTTGTTAAGGCTTTTAATTAACACTGTTAACCGCAATAACCTTCTCCAACTCCAACACTATGGAGTCAGATGTCACTCCCTTCAGTACCTGCAATCTT